ATATATATATGTATATATATATATATATATATATGTATGTATGTATATATATGTGTATGTATGTATATATATGTATGTATGTATTACCTATGCATGAAAAGGCTTATTTCAACTTCTAAGAGTTAAAATAGTGCTTTTTTTTCTATGTGATATGAAAGATTTGGGTTGTGAAAATGTAAAAGAAAAGTTTAGATTTCAAATATGTAAATACATTGGAATTGAGTAGAAGCACGTACATGCCTAAAAAAAAAAAGAGTAATACAGTTTTCAAATCCCACCTAAGAGGAAAAATGATAATCACGGGCCCGTGAATCCAAAAATATCATCTTTAAATGCATATTCAAGTCAGCCATCAAATAATTATGAATACATTACCAATTTAGACAGCTCCACATCCAGCCAATCCACAAAAGTTAGAACATAATTCTTATTTGTATACCCTGCAGGCTGGAATACATCTTTTCATCCATAGCTTCAATCAAGAGGACCCTCATATCCCATATTCATATCCCATAGAATATTTACAATGATATGAAGTGACATCTACTTTCCTCAAAGTGGAAACTGAAGCCTTACAAACAATTATATAATTAGGGAAAATTTATTTGGATTATCATTCAAAGAAATTCAAATTTCACCTAAGGTTATTTTCAATCTAAACTTGGTAGAAAAGATCAAATTCATTAAATATGTGAGTTTCTTTTATTCTATTAAATTTACTGGGAGAGAAAAATCACTGAAATTTAGAGAATTTACGTTAAAGATGTTGTGGTATATATATAATTTAAAACGATTGACGACGAAACGAATAAAATAACAGGAAAAAATTCACACCAAAAGAACACACAGATTTACGTGGTTCGGGAAATTGCCTACATCCACGGAGTTGCAGAGGATTTTACTAATTGAGGAATTTACACCGGTCGATCTCTTCAATAATTACAAGAGAAATCTTTGTCTCGTCTCTCCTTTCTCCACCGTAATACACATCAAAAAGAAAGAAGGAAATTCCACAGAAAGCAAGCCTGCTATCCTTTTTCTTTCTTCAAACTTAAGCCAAATTTACCACAAGAAACGTGAAGAAGCCTTGAGAACCACCTTCTTCTTCTGGCCGAATAAGAAGCCCTTGGAGAACGATGCCCCTTGGAGATGCCCTTGCGATGTCTTCTTCCTCTTCAGCCCGATCACCACTAGCAAGAACTCCTTCTTGCCTTCACCGTGACTTCACCTCCTGAAGATCTAAAGGAGAGCCTCTTCTTTTATCACAGGCAGAAAAGGAAATGAAGGGATGCTTCGCTTCGTGAAATAGAGGAGGCGTGAGCAGTTTCTGGCGAAGGGACGTGAAGCTTCGAGCGCGAAACAGAGGAGGCGTGACTGTTCGCGTGCACGGGAGACGGGATCACAATCTGGAGCGGAGCGGGAGCAGGAAGCGTCGATTCATGAATTAGAGGAGGCGGGATGCGGGAGTGGGCGAAATCGGTCTCCATCTTTAACAAAAGATATCTAAACACTTCATGAAAATTTCAATGCAGCAAAATCAAAACGTGTCAAGAAAGGCAATTAAAAATAGTTTTAAAACCTGATTTACAAAACAAACAAAACAAAGTATGAACATAAACCATAGGAATGTGCAAAGAGTTTTCACAATTCTAAAAATTTAAGTGTCTCGAACGTAAGAATACAACTACTCGGTGGTGTGTTGAACAGATTCCTATAAGTAAAAAGTTACACATAATAAACTTTAATAATTGATACTAATAATTAGAATTTAAATTATTTAAAATCTCACTAACCAAATGTGAACCACCAGGTGGTCGGTGTTGTTGTTGAAGTTGTTGCATAAAACTTCACATCTCAGCATGAAATGATGCAAAATTTTGCCTATCATTAGACACAGAAGAAATAATTCGCACCTCAGCTCTCACAAATTGGAAGAGGAGTTGCAACTCCTCTTCCAATCTTATGACCCGGGCAAAGCTATTACCTGTACTGCTCACACCTGTGGTGGTAGTACGATGTAAAAATAAATGACTATGACTGACACCGAAACCTTACGTCCTTATTCTCACGGAATGCACATGACCCATAATCAATGTAAAAACTCTCTCATTTGCCTCAACTTTTTCTTGTTCGAGCATCAAGCTCTCTTCAGCCACTAGATCACAAGGTAGGGTCTATAACATATAGCTATATACTTAGTCATAAATGAGATAATCAATTTAAAAAAAATTAACAATACCCATTGTAACTTAGCAACCTTTGATGATGATGATTCATCTTTATGCGTTCAACTAACTCTCCATAATTGCAATCTATTCTGAATAGACTACATATCACAACACAAAAAGTGATTAATTATTACAAGTAAAAAGAAATCATAAATAAATTCATACCGTCGCTATTTGTTTTATAATAGAACCGACTCTACCATAGAGTGAGGGCATGTTTATTTTTTGACATTTTCAGTATTGTTGAATCTCCTAAAATTAAATAAAAATTTAATAAGTTTTTATATAATTAATTACTCAAAGCATTTATACAATCCTAATCTAATCAAGTGGTTGTGACTGTTATGTCATCAGCTGACACCACTGTAATGCATATACTTCTGTTGACACGTTCCCAATATCTTGCTTTTAGGGAAATTTTATAATTATGCCATTTAACTCCAAGTGATTGAAGAACCCACCATCGTACATGATCAGGAATTTCAAACTTCACCTTCAAAAGAGCAACAATTATTAGAAAATTAATATCAATAGTACAAAATAGTATTATAGGTTGACAAATGTATATTACCTCAACTTCAATAAACATTTTCTTTTTAAATGATTCCATTTCTTTATTGTGCCAATCTCAAAATGATATTAATGCTAGCATTGAATTCGTAGCATTAACTACAATATAAGATAGTGTATACTCTAGGAGATTATAGGGAACACCATTATCATTCACGTAGGTATGAACTTGTTTAGCTGAGGCCACGTTCTGAATATCCACACAAGTAGTGCAGTCTCTGTGTCACACTGACATGCCCTGATCATCTACAAATTCAATTTAAATATAAAGTTAAAGATATTTACGAATTAAAAGAACTATTAAAAGCTAACAAGTTATGATAAAATTTGGGTAAAAATAAAATAATAATAGTACCTACAAGCCAAACTTCCTCATTGTGATGAGGAGAATGCTTTTCAGAATTATGAAAAAAAGGAAACCCTAGATCATGTGTACCTTTGAAGTCATGTTACTCAGAGACAAGGTAGATGGGTGTACATTGAGTATTTTATGATCTGTTACTCTTATGTCTACTATAATCACTCATTGATGTAACTCTTTTAGAACTTTTAGTAAACTTTCGTTTGCTATTTCTATAAAATTAAATATTTTTAGTATATTATATTTTCTTGAAAGTTTGAACTATATAGAAAGAGTAATTCTAATATAAAAAATTAAAAAAATGTGAATAATGAAACAAAATTATATAAACATTGTATATAAGGAAAACAATCTTCAAAAGTTTCTTTCAAAAATTTATAAATACTCTTAAAACACACATCTAAGACTACAACATTTAACCAAGTAAACATGAGAATATTTAAGAAATAATGAAAACAGCACACATGCAAAAATTATATCACTACCATTCATGTGACTGATCCATCTAATTTATTCATTGGTAGAACTTAAATTGTAATCAAACACATCTCTTATTTAACTCTTACAACAAAATTCCAATTTGTGTTTTTGGGATCTTGAATAAAGAAAATTGGTTTCACTTGAGAGAAAAAAACAAATGGATCGTGCTCTAACTTCTCTCCTGTATGTATTAAATGTGAGAAATTAACCAAACTTAATCCAAACTGATCTTTTTTCATGTCAGTTGTATTTGTGCTTTCCCATTAACATTTGAATGATATAACTTGAAATAAATTAGAGTAATAATTGTCATCAATAATATTTTAAGTGATTATGAAGGATTTTTATTGACTGTAATGAGTTTTAAAATTTTTATTTTAAATTTGAAATGGATTTGAGTAGATTTCAAAGTGGAAAGAGAGAGAGTAGTGAGAGAAAGTATGAATATTTTATTTAAAAATTTATTTTGAATTTTATTTTATTTGTAGTAAATTTTATTAGTAAATTATATGTGAAATTGGTTATTTGATCTTTTTTGTGAATTTTTATGTAATTTATATTGACTAATTGAATTATATTGAATTTGTTTCAATTTTCATTATTTTTTAATCTTTATTATAATTTTTTTAGTTTAATTTTATTTTGAAATAATTTTAATCATTTGATGATTTTTCCAAATTTTTACTTATACTTTCTTTTTTTTGTTTAATTTGGTAATTTATACAGTAATTTTGGATTTTGTTGAAATTTTATGGTAATTTAATTTTTTATTTTGATTTTGATTTTATTTGATTTCAATTTTAGTTGAATTTATGATCTTGGTGAATTTGATTTGATTTTATTTCAATTTTAGGTTTTATTTCATGATTTCATTTATTCTCTTTTATTAGGAGACAAACTATATCTTAGTTCAAGGTGAACCTCATACCCAATTTGCTCTTTAAACAAAAAGAGAATCATCAAAGAAATTAAAGGAAAAGGGTGTAATGCTACCAAATAAAGACCATGTAAGAAACCTAAGTCTCTAAGTTCAAAGGGTAGCAAAAGGCAATTCCAAGCCTATTGGAACTCAACTTAAGCTCATTCACTTAACCTCAATCAACTCAACAAATAGTTGTGGATTCAGGGTTAAACATATGAAACTATAAGGACTAAAAAGATGTTTCAAGTTCTCAGCTAGTATTAGTTCAATCATTACTCCTCTAGGAAAAGCCACTAATGAAACCTTAAGGCTAATTCTTGTTCTAAAGAGAGAAGGAACAAGTTAGACCTCATGGAAAAATGAGGTCAATAGATTACTTAAAGTTGGTGATGTGGTTAGTCATGTTTGTGTGACCTTGGTTTGCCTTTAAGATTATGAGTTTTGAATCTTGAAAATGGCCAAATTTAAACAACATTGTAGGAAATATGCTTTTGTTGACTGAGATCTTCTTCTTCCATTACACCCTTCAATTTGCCTAAGATCAGGGAGCAATTCTTCCTCCTTCGATTAAGGAAGATAAATATCATCTTATAATTATATGTTCCTCACTATGTGATTATTTTCTTATAGTAATTGAGGTTGTCCTAGATAATTTTCCTCGGTTATTCTCCAAATTTTCTCTAGTCTAACTTTCATCTTCATTAGTTATAGATTTCAAAAGGATCTTTAGCTATAATTATAGTCTTGCATATAATGGCTTCCCGTGACAAATTCTATGCTAGTCCCTTAATCATATCTCTAAATTTTACTTCTAATTCTAAGCATATCCAAGTTCATTGCACCAAAAAAGATGATTATTACTTACATATATGTTGGTAATTCCTACAGCTAACTTAATCAAAAGAAATAAGAGAAGTTAAAAAAGATGGTTAGAGTTAGCAAATCCCAAAATATATTGCTTAAGCTACTATAATGATGGAGTAGAGGGGAGAAATATTCAAGAAACCAACCTTGGGATCTCCCTCGAATCCCCTACTCATTAGTAAGATTTTAAGATCTCAAGCACTATAGAAAATACTACCTAATGAGTAAAAAATCAATAAAGGACCAAGAAATGTAGAAGGCTTGTAGCCTTAATTCATGTTCGGACTAGGTGCGGTTAGTTTGCTAGACATGTCATCAGGTATCTGAGTAGGTTCATTTCATTTTTTCTTTTATTGATTCCTTTCAACAACTTCAATTAAATTTTAGGGGTTCTTGTGATTCTTTGCATAATGATCATGGTTGTTTTTGAAGGTGTGGTACTTGAAAGGATCACAGAGACTAGTAACTCCTCCCATGAGTATTTATATGAGAAAGTTACCCTTGTTGAAAATAGCTACGAAGTCTTAATAAACATTTACTGTAAAATGAGCCACGCTACCATGAAACTGTTTGATTGAATAGAGTACTTCTTTTGGGCTTTATGCAAGGAGCGAGTCCATATGAAGTTGCCAAACAAGTTCATTGGTCAAGTACAACAACTTGGGCAATTCATCTACTCAGCTTTGAGGAGTACTTGGGTGAGCAGCCCAAAAACTTGAGTGAGTAGACATCAATTGTTTCGAATTGCTTTCTGTTTAGGTTAATTTGATAAAGAATTTGTTCTGTCCTTGTTGACTTCATGAGGTTGATTTTTCTAACTATGAATGTGATATATGAACAAATCTATTTTGACGTTGAGGCCATCAAACTGGCATTTGGATGTACAAAAACATAACATGGTATTTATAAGACTACCAAAAGAGATACACATTTTATTGAACATATGCTTTAGTGAAAATGTGATGATTTGAGCGGATAGAAATAACATTTTTTAATAAAAACATTTTCTCAGTGCTTGAGAATTACTCAAAATTTCACAGGCATCCGCTAAAAGTACTTTTTTTTAATCAGTTGGAAAAGAATTATATATGCTCTTGTTTTACCAAAAACCTCTACAAGAGCACCGTCCTTCTCGAAAATGGTGAAACCGATTGTTGTCCCTCAAGATAATCTCTCTTCCTGTCATGTACGAGATGAACTTCGCAACCTCATGACAATCTCCACATACTCTCAAATTCTTAGTTACACGAATAGGCTTTCCTTTTACTGTGTTCAATATTCCAAAAGCAATTGCCAGCTTCTCACTATGTCCACAAAGAGCCTCTTCCTTAACATCATCATCTGCATTGATCAAGGCATATCTCCTTTTCGGAGCAATGCCATCTTCCTTCATTTTTCTTCTCATATCATCAAGAAAAACCTGTATCTTCTTTGATTGATAGTTTGATTTATCGCCCGTAACAAAGATGTAAGCTTTACCCTTCACTTCTATCCAACTACAGCCTGGGTTCTTTCTCAATGCTTTACTTCTGATCCTTTCCCTCAGCTTCTTCACAGCATCCCATTTCTCAGCCTCTGCATATATATTCGCAAGCAGAATGTAATATCCTGTATTCTCTGGTTCTAATTCAAAAACATTTTCTGCAACTTTCTCAGCGAGATTCACATCCCTGTGTATTCTGCAACCACAAAGCAAAGCTCCCCAAACTGTGGCATCCGGCTCCATTGGCATTGATTTGATGAACATGTACGCTTTACTTAATCTCCCAGATCTGCTAAGCAAATCAACCATACATGCATAGTGCTCTATTGCAGGTTCAATTTTGTATTCATTTTTCATTGCATTGAAGAATCTCCATCCTTCATCTATCAGTCCAGAATGGCTACAAGCATATAAGATGGCGATGAACGAAACACCATCAGGCTTTATTCGTTTAAGTCTCATTTGCTTGAATATTTGAAGAGCTTCTCTGCCATGGCCATGCATGCCATAACCGGCAATCATCACAGTCCATGTGATGAGGTCTCTAAATTGCATCAGATCAAAAAGCTGACGAGCCAGTAGTAAAGCACCGCATTTCACATACATGTCCACAAGAGCATTAGCGACAAAGCTGCATTCTTGCATCCCAGCCCTGAGTATGTGGGCATGCATTTCTCTTCCTTTCTCAAGTGAAGAAAGGCTGGCAGAGGCACGAAGTATGCAGGCCATTGTTGTGGAATTAGGTTTCATGCACAGCAGCATTGTTACAAACAAATGAAGAGCTTCATTGGGAAGAGAGTTCTTTGAATAGCCTCCTATCAACGTGTTCCATGAGATCGTATCCTTTTTTGGAGTATGATCAAAAACAATTCTAGCATTTTCCATATCACCACACTTAGCATACATGTCCATAAGTGCATTGGCAACAAAGGCATGAGAATCCAATCTATTCCTGACCACATAGTCATGTATATGCTTACCTTTGTTTAACGATCCACTGCAGGCACAGGCATGAAGAGCAGTAGTTATAAAATGTAGATCAGGTTCCAAATTTTCATCTTCCATTTTTTTAAATAAGAAAATTGCTTCTTCATAATGTCCATTGAGGGTATACCCTGATATCATTGATGTCCATGACACGATGGTTCTCTCACTCATCTTCTCAAAAATTTGAACAGCATTCTCAACAGCCAAACATTTAGAGTACATATCAAGTAAAGAGTTGCTCAGTGTCACCTCCTGTACGAAACCTGCTTTTATTGAATATCCATGGAGCGCTCGGCCTTGAGAAAGAGCACCCATTTTTGGGAAGGCAGGTAGAACACTAACCAAAGTTGCTAGATCTATATCCATTCCAGAGAATAACATTTCCCTGAACAATCTAACCCCTTTGTCTAAAATATCACTAGAAACACAACCATGGATTATTGAATTCCAGGATATAATATCCTTAACAGACATTACATCAAACACTTTTATTGCAACACTGATACTGCTACATTTTGAGTACAGAGATATCAAGGCGTTTCCAACTGCGCTTCCACTATAAAAAATATCAAGTTTTATGAGATAACCGTGAACTGCCATCCCATGGCTTAGATGGTCCAAAGCTGTGAAGCACTTCAGGACACAGGAGAAGGTGCAAGAGTTGGGATTGGTTCCATTCTCCCACATATTTCGGAAAAGAATGGCGCCTTCCATGTACTTTCCGACCTTGGCGTACTTACTCATCAACAAATTCCATGGAAAAGGATCCTCTTTGAAAGTCAATTTATCTAAAATCCTTCTTCCTTCTCTCAAATCCCCCAAGTTAACGTACATTGAAACCAATTTGGAGCCCAAGTTGGAATCGATATAGATTCCAGATGTGGAAATGAGGGAATGGAGTTTTTTCCCATGGCGCAGTGATCCAAGATCAGAACAAAGCTGAAGAACATCGCAGTAAGTTTCGGAGTCCAGGCACGCAAATTCCTCGCAATTGAGGTTAGAAATTAACATCAAAGTTTCTTCAATATTACCCTTTAGACACAGTTCCTGGATTTCAGAGTCAAGGTTTCTCGTACGCTCTTCACAAAGCAACGAGGCAAAGGGGATTCCGGCACTTCTCCAATAGCCGGAAGTCAAGGAAGTAAGAAGTTGGTTCCTTTGAGGAAAGTGGAAGATGCGGAAGCCTGAATACTTCCTCTTCTTCTTATTGCCTCGGCGAGATTGGTGTTTAGAAAACACAGAAAGAAGCGGCTCTGCCGCCGCCGCCATAGAGTTAGGTAGTTTGCCCAATATGATGACGGTGGAAGAGCTCCTGAAAAATGTTTTAGTTCTAAGCAAGTTCAATATCAATACGACAAAAAAAAAGATGTTTGCACCATAAAGAGCTTTCATCAAATCAATCAAATAAAATTATTTATCAGGAATTTAATTAGGTTAAATCCTCCATTTTATAAACTAATTCGACATATAATTAACAATATTAATTAAGAAAGTCCCTTCTTAAAAAAAATCATGAAGCCACGATTTAGGAAATATTTGGGGCGGCTGCATCTTATACAGCTTATTCACATAATGATAAGCGGTTGATCAAAAACTTAGCTAGCTGGTTGTTAGTTTTGTGCGTTTGGAAAAAAACTATTATGCAACTCTTACTGGATAAATAATTATTTCTGCCTCTATATAGTAAAATTGTTTGTAATAGAACTGTCTAAGGAATGTATTTATTGCTAAAGCAAAAAATGATATCAGAACAGTACATAAAATAAATAGGACAATACTAATTTAAAATTTATTAATTTTGAACACCTAATACTTCACCATTCCCCAATAGCACAATTTTCCAAATCAAATTAATAACCATCTCATATATGCTTAACACTGAATTAAAATAAAATTTTTATTTGGGCTAAAATTTGAAACTTTTTACAGCTAAATTAGATCAATCAGTCTTGTTCAAGCATAAATCTGTATTCAACCTGCTTAAACCACTTCTCAAACCAAACAAATCATACTAAAATCCACCATTCCCTATTTGATATTTCTTGTGAGTGAGTAGCTGAGAATCGAAAACTTGGCCATGAGCTGCAAAGTATCAAAATTGATATGCTGACACTGCTGCCTCACAAAGTATATTAGATGATTATCAACAAAGTTTACGAAAATTAGAAATAAAAGCATTCAATTGGATGAAATAGAAAACAAGTATAATCGCAACCAACAAAAATAAAACAAACCAAAAAAGAACAGAGGAACGAGATTGGAAGCCATTAATCATGACCACATTATTTCATTAGAATAGAAATAACAAATAAAGATCAAAATTAAAGTTGAGAGATTGCTGTCTGAAATCAGGGTTGATCCAGATAATCTACCGATCAGTAGTTGATCCAGATAAGCTGGCTGACAGTTTGGTTTGTGCGTTTGGAAAATAACTGATTCTAGATAAATGATCAGTTTGCCCCTATTCTGAATAAGTTGTTTAGTTGTTTTGTTGGGATTTTTTCTTTAAGATTCTCAAATTAGTTAATGATGGGAATTAAATTTATTTCTTTAGAATTCCCAAATTAATTAAAACTCTAAATTAATTTCAATACCCTTTGGAATTCCCAAATTAATTTTAATACCCTTGGAATTCCCAATTTAATTTCAATACCCATTGAAATTCTCAAATTAATTTCAATAACCGTTGGAATTCTTTGGTGTTCTTAAGAGAAATAATTTTCAGAATGTGGTTCATATAGTGTCTAAGTTCAACACATGAATTTAGTAACATTCCATAATGTGGTCACATCCATT